CTCGGGGGGCCTGGTGACTCCAGCCTTGATGCTCCAATGTGGTAGACCGGGGTGAACAGCCCCACAAGCTGGGTGCAAACCTGCCCTGACAACCCGGACAGGCTGATGGGTCAGCGAACGCCTTGCAGGTTTGTGCTGCTTTGTGCTGGCCCCACGAGAGCAGACCTGGCGCCTGGCCGTCCTTCCCAGGCTGCAGCCCCGGAGACCCGCCTCAGGGTGGAACTGCTCTATCCCCAGGCCTTCCTGGCTCTCTCCTGCCACACCTGCTCGGGCAAAGGAGGGGGCTTCCCCTCAGCCTGCCCACTGGTGCTGCTGGCCCACTGTCCCCCCATAGACGTGGCCCCTGGGTCCCCTGCTTGGGCCTCGCAGGGCCGGGGCCGGGCCAACCCCACACGCTTGTGGACAGGTGTGCAGCACACCTGCCCTCTCAAGGATCTCGGGCGCCGCCACCGCAGGGCGAGGCCCTCTCCGTGACCAGCTCTTTCTGCTGCTTCTCGCAGCGCCCCCCAACCCCCCCGCAGGGTGCAGAGGGAGGACCCTGAAGGGCCGCCCGCACTCTCCCCTCCACCGTCCTGCTCTCCTGGCCCTGGGCACCGGTTCTCCGCAGAGGAGAGGGTCATGGCAGGCCTCCTCATTAGCCGCTAATTGCAGCATGCGCCGCGCCTCCCAGGGCGACAGCTGGGGTTACACCTGTTGACAAGATGTGGCGGCCCAGCGGGAAGGCGCACGTGTTGATTAGGTCGCTAATGATGCGCTCATTGCCCACAGTCATTCCCTTCAACAAATAAAACACCGAGTCTGCTCAGCCCAGCAGTGGGAGTCTTGCTTCGAAAAGCTCCTGGGGTGCGCCTGGGGGTGGCGAGGCCTGGTGGGCTCAGGTGGGACACCTCAGGCAACCTTGGAGCACCCGGATTCAAGCGCGAGCACCGGCCTGTTTTCCTAGGCAGAGCTGCTTTCTCTCTCTGATTCTGAGAGTAGGAGGCCTGGGGACCCTGGTCACAGCAGACCCCAGACCCGCCCCACGGGGGGCCCTTTCTCACCCCTCCCTGCCCGCACCCCAGCCCTCAGGGCCTGGAGGACCCTGGAGGGGAGTGGAAGGATCTGCAGGGACAGCCCGGAGGCTGTGCCCCCACGTCCACCCAGACAGGGAGGGCCGCCCGCGCTGATCTACCCAGAACCTGCTGGGCGTGAAGACCCTCATGTCGTAAGAAGACCCTAGTTGGCCGTAACAGTAACAAACAAACTGGTCCCCAGTTTACGACAAGCATGGGGCGGGTTTAGAAGGCAGAGCCATTTGGTAGGGTAGGAGGCTGGCCCTGCACTCGGACAGCTGCCTGAGCCCGGCCCCTGGGAAACGTGTCACCTGTTCTACACGACTGTGGCCACACAGCAGGGGCCCGTGGACGCAGCCCCTCCCTACTCCTCCCACCTGTTAAGTTTGGGGGTGAGTGGTTCTCACAGGTGACCCCTCCCCACCCCTCTGTCCGATGGGGGCATCGCTGTGGGTCTTGTGGGCCACGGAGACCACGACCTGGTGGGCTACAGCCTGGACACACATCCCTCCTCCCATAGCCCAGCCATGCAGGGCAGGTGCAGAGCAAACCCCGCTTCTCCTCCCCTGTTTCCTGGGGGCCTTGATCCAAGAAACACTGGAGAATGCAGCATACGTTCTGAAATCAGGAAAAATTAAAACTCATTTCAGAAAAGACAGCTGTCCTCCCACCTTTCACTTGTCCCCACCCTGGGTCGTTTATCCCCACTGCACACAGGCTGTCTGCCGCTAAAAGGCACCTGCTGCCCAACCCCAGCTCTACAGTACAACGGCTGGGGGCTCTCGGCCCTCAGGGGTGGCCTGGGCTGCATCCCCGCCATCCCACCCGTTCCCGAGGGCCAGCCCAGCCCGTGTGGTGAGATGCGTCCCGATACGCAGTTGTCCTCCAACCCCTGAGGGTCCTACAAAAGCTTGGACATTCGGGCTGTGGTGGGCTGAATGGTACCTCCCAAATACTACGTCCACCTGAAATCTGTGAACGACACCTTATTTGGGAAAAGAGTTCGTGGACGTGATTGAGTTAAGGATCTCAAGACGAGATCATCCCGGATTAGAGTGGGCCCTAAATCCAATGACGAGTGTCCTTAGAAGATAAGAGGGGGGAGAAGACAAACAGGGAGGAGGCCGTGTGACGATAGGGCAGAGGCTGGAGTGACGCAGCCACAAGCCCAGGACCGCCTGGAGCCCCCAGAAGCTGGACGAGGCGGGAAGGACCCCGCCCTGGAGCCTCCGGAGGGAGTGAGGGCCTGCGACACCTCGATTTAGGACTTCTGGTCTCCAGAACTGAGAGAAGATAAATGTCTGTTGTTTTAAACCACCTCGTTTGTGGTCCTTTGTTCCAAAGCCCCAGGAAAGTAATGCAGGGCCGATCCATCGAAGGGTGAAACTCCAGTGGTCACCCACAGGCAGAGACAGCAGCTCTACACACCTCAGCGGAAATGGTGCCTGCTCCCAGCCAACAATCAGGTGGTCGGCTTTGGGCAAAGGGGTCCTGTGGGCATGTCCAGAGCAGAGGCCAAGGACTGACCCGTCTCAGCTCAAGAAAGGGGCACCCACACACTGTCAGCGTCACAGCAGCTACACAGCCCGGCCAGCCTGGCCATAGGGGCCGAGGCCCCTCCCTGCATCCTCAGCTGGCCCTCACGTCCCCCCCCCCCGCGTGTGTAAACCCTGGTCTTGCACATGGGAAGCGCACAGTAAATACTCACTAATGATGATGATGAAACAATTTGCAAAATGTGAGCACTGAGGAGGCGAGAGTAATGTTGGCACCAGAGCCCGAGCGTCTGCAGGGACACGGCTGTGAGTTAATAAAAGACCCTGGAGGGGCTGAAGAGCCCCCGCCCTGGCTCCACGCCGAGCAGGCAGCAGGAGGACCTGCCCTCATCTTGCGCGTGTGTGCGCCTGTCTGCGTGTGTGTGTGCGTGTGTGTGTGTGCCTGTGATCTGAAACCCCCGCTCAGATTTTCTGAACTAGCACTGGCTCTGACAGTCACCCGGCACTCTTACAGGGACAGCGGGACCGATGGCTTGAAATGGGGTGGAGCAGGGTGTCCTCACTGCCTGGGCCTCTCAGGGACCCCTTGGGGTGGCCAGGCTGAGCAGCAGCCTCGAGCCCCCTCATTTTTTAATAGTTTTGTAAGATATAAATTCACATATCATACAATTCACCCATTTAAAGTGTGCAAGTCAATGGTCTTTGATATATTACATTATTAATTTTTAAATCCCGATAAAATACATATAACAAAATTCACCATCGTAACCACTTTAAAGTGTACGATTCAGTGGCTTAGTTACATTCACAATGTTGTGCAGCCATCACCTCTATATCTATTTCCAAAACTTTTTCATCATCCCAAACTGAAACCCCCTCCCCAGCCCCTGGTAACCTCTCATCTACTTTCTGTCTCTATGGATTTGCATACTCTGCACATCTCGTAGAAACGGAATCAGACACCATGCGGCGTTTTGTGACTGGCCTCTCACTGAGCGTGACTCCTGAGGTTCATTCACGTTGTAGCACATGTCAGAGCTTCACTCCTTTCGCGGCCGACTGACATTCCAGGGTGTGGACAGACCACGCCTCCTCGTCCACTCACCTGCTGGTGGACAGTCAGGCTGTTCCCACCTTCCATCCAGCCCGACCTTCGCTCCACTGGGTTTGCTCTTACAGACTTGGGTCCTGGGGGAGGAAAGATTGAAATCTGCCCGGCATATCTACCTGTCAACTCTCCCCTCCAGCACTGGGAGAACCCTCCCCAGCCCCCTAAATGGGGACCATCCTTTGCCCCCCAGCCAGCCGGAGCCCCCTCTGCTATAAATCCTCCCCATCAGCCCAGCCTAACTGACTCTCATCCTGCCCCCAATCCCAAAGGCACTTGTTAGTCTCACAAATTTTTTGTAAACTTACTCTGGGGCACTTCAGCGAAACTAAGTTTATTTTGTGTTCATCTACTTCTAATCAATAGTGGGTTCTTCAGATCTCAGACCTCACTCAGGTATTGCCAGGACAAGGGGACGGGTGGGGCCTGGAAGCCCACCTGGCGCAGGTGCTGGGGAAAGTCCTCCCCACTGCTGAGAAAGAAGGTCCTTTTCTGGGAGCCAAGAGGAGCAGCTGCAGGGGCTTGAGGAGGCCACGTCAGCAGGTGGGCCTCCGTCTGGGGACCTCGCAGTAAACCCACAGGTACGTGTGGGAGTCACCAGGTAGAGTCGACATCAGGGCAAGAACCCCAAGAAGAGTGGGAGCACAGGCCGGGCTGGGCCCTCAGAAACGTGAGGCCCACATTCTGGGGCTGAGCCAGCCAGGGCTGGGCCCAGGTGGGGACCAGGCACATGCTAGACTCCACCACTTGAGTTTTCTGGAAGCCCCACTAAGAAATGGTCATTAAATGTATAACTAAATAGGACACGGTTTTAACCGCTCAAGAATTGGGTCTGATCAAGCAGGGGTCCTGTTTCAGGTTATAAAATCTTATATGGAAGTAGAGTTTTCTCAGGCTGGTCTCCAGAATAACAGAAGGGATGTGGGGAAGGGAAGGAGCTCTGGGCTCGCGCTGGGCGGCGGGATCGGCTCCCACCTCTGTCACTTGCATCTCCTTCCTCTTCTACAGAAACGGCCCACGTGTGCCCAGCGCCATGCTGGGATCCTGGCTGCGTCCGGGACCAAGCCAAGCAGGGCCGCTGCCTCGGCGAGCTCCCAGAGCGGGGACTGCGGGACCGCACACAGGGCCGGCAGGTGAGCTCTGGAGCGAGGGAGCTTCACTCCTGTCCCCGCGGTCCCTCCGCCCGGCAGGAGGCGGGACAGGCGAGAGGCGGGAGGTCACTGGCTCCGCCAGCAGGGGGCGCGCACCCTCCAGACGTCCTGCCACGGGGCCAGACGCGCATGCGCCGCGCAGGGCGCTTTCCGGCAGCGTGGCGGAACAACCCCGTCGTTTTGCGCCGTTTGGCGACCCCTGCGCGTGGCGGCCGGCGGCAGTGTGGCCGCCATGGCGTCGCCCTTCAGCGGGGCGCTGCAGCTGACGGACCTGGATGACTTCATCGGGCCGTCTCAGGTGGGAGACCCTCCCGCCTCAGTGCCGTCCCCGAGAAATGGGACCGGAACCCGGGACCCCCGCCGGGTCACGGGCGTCCGGGGAAGGCGAGGCCAGGACGGGGTTTGGGACAGTAGGAGAGGTCATCACGCCGCCCCAGGGGACCGCGTCCGGGTGCCGCGCCCTCCCTGGTGGGGATACGAGCAGCTGCCGCCAGTGACCCAGCCGGGCAGCGGCAGGCTCGGAGCGTGCTGGAGAGCCCGCCAGGCTTCCCTGGGCCAGGTCCTTCCGTGTAGACGGCGCTGGGGGCGCTGCCCTCAGCCGCCGAGCCTGGGAGGTGGTCGCCGGAGCCACAGCCAGGGCCCAGTCCGCGCAGGAAGGTGGGCGACCTTGCCGTTGCCCTCGGGGAGGCAGAGCTTGTCCCTGAAGGGGCAGGAGAGCCACACTTGACAGTGGGTGTCGCCCTTATCTGGTGCGCCTGCCTATCAGTGCCACCAGCTGTGCAGGGCGGGGCTGAGGGCCACAGCGAAGGGTCCCCGGAGGAGGGGTGGGCTGGCCGCAGCGTGGCGGGCAGAGATGAGCTGGGACAGGCCTCCACCGGGCCTACCTTCTGGGGCTGTAATCTTTGGGAAGGCGGTGGCCCACGGGCGCCTCTTAGTGATGATGAGAGACACAGCGAGAGCTCGGCGAGGTGGGGAAAGAAGTGGATTTATTTTCTGGGGCACTGGGCAGGGAGGTGGCCTCCAAGTAAAGCATTCCTGCTGACCCCTTGGCTTCCTCTCAGTAGCCAATGTAACACTGGCCACGGGCTCTCCCTGTGGTGGCCACACCTTCTGTTACCCTAAGAAAGGGTGAACGTCGAGGTTGGTGGTTTCTGCAGGCGGGTTAGTCTTCATCTGACTTCAGCATACGGAGCGACCCACAGGTCTTAGCGCGTGTGCCTTGTGCCCGAGCCGCGGGCCAAGCAGCAATAGCGCTAAGACGGCTTCTGTGGCAGGAACAGGAGTCAGGGCCAAGCCCTCATCCCTCGTGGTGGTGGCATCAGGGTCTCTTCCTGGTCCAGGACTGTATCAAGCCTGTGAAGGTGGATAAGAGGCTGGGAAGTGGCCTGGCAAAGATCCATATCGAAGATGACGGGAGTTACTTCCAAGTCAGTCAGGTAAGTTCCAGCTCAGAAAATGTCAGACACGTTTCAGACACAAACACAGTGACCATGAGACCTCGCACGCCTCCCAGCCCTTTCTCACTGATCAGATTCACTGGCCATCGGGGAGCCTGGGAGGGCAGGGATGGGAGCCTGGGGATGCCCCAGAGGCTGAACATGGAGCTTGATTTATTCTGCAGAGGGTTCTCTCTTTGCAGAGATGGCGGTTCCCATCTTCCCCTCCCTCTCCCTCTCTCTGAGTTCTAATTGTGTAAGATTTCCCAGTTCAGACCCCTTGTTCTTAATGAACACCTACTTCCTGTATAATTAAGCAATGACAAGATCCTGATGTAATGGTGTTAAAATTCACCCCAACTGTCTGCGATTTGGACCTTCAAGAACATCTGTGCCATCCCATGGACCACAGGCACTGGGTACACCCGGCCCAGGAAGCCCTCCTGAGCAGGGGAGTAGCTGCAGGATGGCTCATGGCGGGGCTGGACAGTGGGATTGAGTGTTCACAGGAGAGAGCTGGCTGTTTGCTTTAACCCAACATCAACCCAGCAGCACACCATGGCTCCCGCCCGAGCCTGGTGCAGCACGGGGCACTGGAGCCTTTTTAGGGAAAAGATACCTCACAAGGGGTCCCACGAATGAAGGAAGCCAGGGGAGGTGGGGGCTGCAGTGGGCCCCGCTGTCCAGGGCAGCGCTGGTTGATTCGGAGGGAAGTTGAGAAGCACATCAGCCGCCTACTGGGCGCAGCATCGCAGTCTGGGCCTTTAGGCTGATCTGACTCTAAAAATACATGTTGAGCTCAAATTGTGGCTTTGGTGCGAAGCGCAGGCCTAGTGAGCCAGCTGGAAGGGAGTTCCAGTCTCCGCAGCCCTCTTATCACATCCTGGGCCCCTGCAGCTCACCTGGCCCTGGCTCAGACCATTCCTGCGTGTGCAGAGGGAGTGAGGGGCTCAGGCCAGGATCACTGGCTTCTAAGAAAAGTCACTATCAGCCTGGAGGCCCGACTTGAACACCACGTTCTGCGTCTGTCTGGCCGAGTCTGCTGACTGTTGCTGCCTCGCTCCTCCAGGTGTGGGCACTGGGCAGGCAAAGCCACGGGTCACAGGCTCCTGCCGGCTCCTCCCTCTGTTCTTCTTCTCTCACCCTCACCCCCGCCCTTTTCTTCCTCCTCCTTGTAGTGCCTGGCCTTTGGCGTTTTCCTGTCCCCATGGCCCCATGACCAGCCTGGGGACCAGCGACCCCTCTGGGACCCCTGTGGCGAGTCGGCTGCTTCTCTGCAGATTTAACTCCTACATTCCACCCCCGGCAGACAGCAAGTCTTGTTAATACCATTCTGATGTGCCAGCCGAATTTGTACCAAAGTTAGAATCTGATGATGCTATGAGAATCTAGAATGTAATAACTATTTCATTTTTGTAAACTGAGTGGCACGTAAAATCACCCAGCTACCACGCTGGTTGTTGGTGCTGTGAGCGAGAGAACGAAGGCTCCGTTATCCTGAGAGCTCCATGTCCTTGTGCAGAGAAGCCCTTTGCGTACCAGGTTCTCGTGTTCCAGGACGGAGGGACGCGGAAGCTGGAGAAGGCCAAGATTTCACTAGACGACTGCCTGGCATGCAGTGGCTGTGTCACCTCAGCAGAGACCGTGCTCATCACTCAGCAGAGCCATGAGGAGCTGCGGAAAGTTCTAGATGCCAATAAGGTAAGTGGTAGGTGGGCTTCAAGACTCTGCTTTAACCTAACATCAATCCCTCCATTCATGCTGTCAAGGGCAACTCATCTCCTGGTGCCACTTGTCCTGTGTCTCCAGGTGACTCCCACATTTTTAAGTCTCGTCAGTGGGATTATCATCACAGTGAATTACTTGTCAGTATTGTGACACTGAAGTGTCAGGCATAAAGATGACAGGCCCTCATGGAGCTGGGGCATGCTCTTGCCAACTCTTGCCCACTGGGAATCCGGAGAAAACACGCAGAGTAAGCACGCATCCCCTTGCTTTGCAGATGGCGGTGCCCGGTCAGCAGAGGCTGGTTGTCATTTCGGTCTCTCCCCAGTCCAGAGCATCGCTGGCAGCGAGATTTCAGCTGAATCCAACAGACACCGCCAGGAAATTAACTGCATTCTTTAAAAAACTAGGTAGGCGCGGACTCTCGGGTGAGCTCAGAGCACGGGGGCGTCTGGGGGAGCTCTTCACACTTCCGAGTCACTGAACTTAAACATGTCAGGCACTCAATGCAAACTCAAAGCTGAGTTTGACTTCAGCTTGAAGTTTCGATGTGACAGTTGAGTGCAGTGCCTTTTAAGAGAAAACCATCTGAATTCTGACTTTGCATTCTCTAGGGTCTAGAATTCACTCACTCCTTATATTGTTTTAAAATTATCATCATCAATATGCATTTCCCAGGTCTGAGTGGGATTCTAGCTCAGATCGACTGTGGCCAACCCCTGTGTGCCCGGAGCTGGGCTGGGAGGACATGGGGTGAGCCCCGGCACAGGCTGAAACCGGGCGCCATGTGGGGTGTGGCCTGGTCCCGGCAGCCACTGAGGCAGAGGAAGGACGCCGGATGTCACACACGAGCTTCCTGGGCAGCCCCAAGCTGTCCACACTGCAGTGTGTCCTCTGACGCTCTAGAACCTCGGGCTTCTTGGGGCCTCTGTGGAGCAGCTGAGGTACCACTGGAGGGCAGAGCCCCTGCTCCCAGGGGCGTGGTCGGCAGTGCCTTGTGCTTCGGCCGTCCTTCTCGGGGGTGAGGTGGGTGCTTGCCTTCCAGGGGCGCACTATGTGTTCGACACTGCCTTCTCGAGGAGCTTCAGTCTCCTCGAAAGCCAGCGAGAGTTCGTGCGGCGATTCCGAGGACAGGCCAACTCCAAGCAGGCCTTGCCCGTGCTGACTTCCGCCTGCCCAGGTGTGCTCACGCTGCTGAATGACACCAACAGCTGCACGTGGGTGGGGGATGCTGGGGAGAGAGAGAGGGCTCTGCCAGAGCAGGTTAGAAATGCTGGCCCAGAACAGCCTCTTCCACAGAAGGAGCTGCCCTGAGAGTCACCTGTGGTCGTGTCAGTTCCCTGAGACGGCCATCACATGGATACCAGGAACACATGTGACGGGGACAAGAGAGTGGGAAGGTTCTTTAATGAGACCTAACTCCTGGTACAAGTTGGTCCACCCCCAGACTGTCATGTCACTGCCGAGCGGTGAGAGGCGGTTTGTGACCACCCCGTCTGTTCCGTGTCGGCCTCAGGCTGGATCTGCTATGCGGAGAAGACCCACGGGAGCCTCATCATCCCCCACCTGAGCACGGCCCGGTCCCCGCAGCAGGTCATGGGCTCGCTGGTCAAGGACTTCTTTGCCCAGGAGCAGGTAACAGGAGCACGCCCGCTGGGAGTGACTGAGTATCCGTGTCGGGAGAGATAAGCCCAGATCTGCAGTGTCCAGAGACCCACACAGAGTCACGTTGTAGGTCCCCCGCCTCATCCCAGCAGGACCCCATGATTGCTGGGGCCAGGCGGTGACCCATGTGCCCGCGTTTCTCCATGCAGCGACTGAGCGCCGACAAGATCTACCACGTGACGGTGATGCCCTGCTATGACAAGAAGCTGGAGGCCTCCAGGCCTGACTTCTTCAGCCAGGAGCACCAGACTCGTGACGTGGACTGTGTCATCACGACGGGTGGGTCCCACCGCCGAGCCCCCGCGCCTCTGGTGTGGGCCCCAAGCCCAGGGCACAGGGTGGCGTCGCCCGGGTTCTGCCCACGGGCTCTGGCTGGAGCTGCCGTCCCCTGGCCAGAGCCCCGGGGCTCACCCACGCACCTTCCCCGCCGCCCCCGGAGCCAGGTCAGCATTCGCAGCTGTCCTGCTGTCTCGGGGACCTGTGGCCAACGGGTACCCTGGCCCTACCTTGGTGTTTGCACGGGTGGAGGGGCAGCGATTCTCATCAGCCTCTTGGGCTCATGCTGGTCACCCCATTTCTGAGTTGAGCAGCTGCACAGTCTCCTAAATACTTAAAAGACAGGGAAATAAACACCTGGGAGCCCAGACAGTCAGGGAAAAGTCACCCCGCATGCACACAGTGCCCTGTCCACCTTGTGGGGCACTGCTGCGGAAGTGCCCTGGGGACAGATGTGTCTACCCCGTCATGTGGCCATGAGGGCAGGCTGTGGTCCCGGAAGCAGGGCAGCTCTCCTGAGGGTCTTCAGAAGTGGAGTCCTTCTTCCTCAGCTCTGTGGCTGGGTTCTCTCCCACCCACAGGCCAGGGGTGGACGTCCGGGCCTCTGGGGCCAGCTTACAGGTTGCTAGGGATGCAGCTGATGTGGGTGTTCTCTGCTGTCCCTGTTTATATCGAGATGCCAGCTGAAGGGCACCTGTGCTGTGGTTTCATGGCAGGAGAAGTCTTCAAGTTGCTGCATGAAGAAGGGGTCTCGCTGTCAGCACTGGAGCCAGCACCCCTGGACAGTCTGTGAGTCGCCACCTGCCACAATGGAGGAGCAGTATCTACGTCTGGCGTTCGGACAGTCGAGACGTTGGGGGTCGAAGGTGTCCTGGCGGGTGGCAGAAGTGAGAATGTGGGTGTGGTCAGTGTCCCCAGACAGACCCTGGCTCTCAGAGTGCCCCTTGCTTCCTCTTCCCCACCACGGCTTCCTTCTGGTCAGTTCCACGTCTGCTCTGTGGTCTGTCTTGGTGTCCACAGAGGTGGTCGAGTTCACAAGATGGCCTACGGACATTCAACTGATGGTTATCAGAGCTGACCCCAACTTCATACAGGTCTGAGCTCCCCAGAACAGGTGACTCGATGGAGGGGACAGTCCTTCTCCCGCCTGAGCTGCCTCCTGACACACTGACAAAGCCCCGGGGGTCTCTGATTCGTTTCCCACTTAGAAAGCAAATGCCCAAAGCGTGAGAGACAGGTCTGGAAGCCTCGCAGACAGCAGCCATGCTGTCACCTGAAGCCGCACCCCCCTCCCCAGGTGCAGCAGCACATCTGCCCAGGAGCCCACCAGCCACCGGGGCGGGGGCTCAGGGGGCTACCTGGAGCACGTGTTCCGGCACGCAGCCTGGGAACTCTTTGGAGTCCACGTCACTGAGGTCACCTACAGACCCCTGAGGTCAGTGGGAAGGGCTGGAGCTGGGGGCTGGGTCCCCTCACTGAAGCGGGCTTGGTGGAGGGTGGCGAGCTGGGTTTGGCGTGGACCCTCTGGCACTGGGCAGGAGCTGGGCCCTCCTCCCTGGCTCGCATGAATGGGCAGAGCTCTCTAGGCCTTGGTCTCCTCATCGTAGGGATCAGTGTCCCATGTCCACACCACAGTGGTCCCGAGCCCCGAGAGGCAGTGGTGACACGGTGGTGTGCCAGGCACAGGGAGAGTCCTGACATGACACCTCCGTTCCTTGGAGGGAGCGCTGGGGGCTTTCACCTTGGCGCACCTTGAGGCTATCCTAGGAAGGAGAGGTTCCCATTCTGCAGATCAGGAAACCGAGGCTGGGGGTGAGGTCACCTGCCCAACTTGTGGAAGTGACCTTCCTACTCTCCCCCTCCATCACTGTCCCACCTGGGACCGGGTGAGGTTGCTGGGGTGGGGACCAGGAGGGAACCTGGGCATGCTGTGTGGACAAGCCTGGACTGGGCCCTCCTCAGGAACAAGGACTTCCAGGAAGTGACCCTGGAGCGGGAGGGCCGGGTCCTGCTGCACTTTGCCATGGCCTATGGTTTCCGCAACATCCAGAACCTGGTGCAGAAGCTCAAGCGTGGCCGCTGCCCGTACCACTATGTGGAGGTCATGGCTTGCCCCGCAGGTAGCTGCACAGGCCTCTCTCACACAGGGTGTGGGGGCGGCGGGAAGGGGGCATACTGGGACCCCCGGTGCACCAGCACCCTCCCCATGACGTCGCCTTGGCCCGTCCTGCTCCGCTACAGGCTGCTTGAATGGTGGAGGCCAGCTCAAGGCCCCCGACATGGCTGGCAAGGAGCTTCTCCAGGACGTTGAGAGGCTGTACGGCATGGTCAGGACAGAGGCGCCAGAGGACACACCTGGGGTCCGGGAGCTGTACAGGCGCTGGCTGCAGGGCGAGGGCTCGGAGCGGGCCGGCCGCCTGCTGCACACAAGCTACCACGCGGTGGAAAAGGCCAGCTCCAACCTCAGCATCAAGTGGTAGGAAGCCTTGAAGATCTGCCGGACCCACCACGGCCAGCACAGGGTCTCCAGCATGAAGTCACACCCCGAGACCCCAGGGCTCATGCCCAGGATGCTAGGCGAGCTGCAGGGACACGTTGGAACCCACGTAGAAACGAGACTCAAGACCCACAGCGGGTAAAGGTGGTCTCTAGCCTGCACTCACCCACACTCCCTGCTGCAGGAGGCCAGAGGGCCCACGGGGTGCCCAAGCCTTGCTCAGGACCCAGGACAGTGCCCTCACTCCTGGTCCTGGTGGCCCATGTGTGTGAGGGTTTCAGCCAGTGCCGTGGGGGGCTTAAGGCAGAGCAAAAGTAGGTTCCTCATCCCCTGCTTCTAGAGTCACCCCTGAAGCTGTGGTGTGGAGGGCAGTGACGGGCCAGACCTGTTGGGCTGGTCGAGCTTACAGCCCAGCATGGAGAACCCTGCTGTGCTGAGACGACACTGGCAGGAAAGGGATACCAGCCATGACACCCCACCTGGGGATGGGGTGCCCCCTCCACCTGCAGCCAGGTGTTCACTGTGATGAAGCTCTGGGCTCTGAGGCCTGAGAACCTGTGTTTTCTAGGTAGAAACCAGGCTCTCAACAGCAGACCTCAGTGGTCTCTCCAGCTGAGTCTTACATCCACAGCTGGGTCCCCACTTACAGCGGCAGGGGGAAGACACCTTGGGCTCGGACTCTAATAAAGGAGCCTTACTCTGAAAACGGCTTCTCTCCTGGAGCGTCTGCCAACATTGAGAAAGACGCCTTGCAAAGCTTTATTCAAAGTTCAGAAAACCCATGCACCCCACTAGGCTGCTTCTTGAACACCCAGGTCTTGGGGCTCACACTGGCCCAGAGAGGAGCCCCATGTGTCCACTGCCACAAGTGCCAGAGTGCCCATCCTCAAGGCTGGGTAGCCGGCTGGGCAGGGCCGAGAAGGCTCCAGAGATGACCCTCCCGTGGGCCCAGTCTACCCGAGGGTCAAGGGAGGAGAGATGCACCACCTGACCCCGCGGCGGGTCCACACGGGGCTCACTTCTGTCGGGGCATACTCAGGAGCCCCCACTGCAGCGCCAGGAGAGCCCGGGCCTGTGGCTGCAGCGGGTCGGCCGCCCGCTCAAAGCTCGCCCGTTCTCTGCAGAGCACCTCCAGGACCTCTGCCGGGGCCGCCTTCCCTGTGAACTCGCGCACAGCCTCCTCTCTGTGGGGAAAGAGGCGCCATGGGGGCTCGGGGAACTGCTGGGCGGGCACTGGCAGAGAGTGCTGAACGAGCAGCCTCTCCCCAGTGCCAGTCAGGCCAATAACTGGTCCCCCGACCCCTCCCTTAGTGTCCAAATGACTGCCAGGGAGGCCCCAAGGATGACAGCCGGCCTTGTGCCAGCTGGCTCTGCAGCGTGGCCCCTGGGGAGGGCACAGGGCCTCCCGAGACGCGCTGGCACAGGAAAGCCCAGCATGTGGGCCAGTACTCACGCCACTCTCAGAAAGGGGTTGTAGAGGAGCTCCTCGCCTAGCGTGGACGGCACTGTGGGCACGTCGTCCTCGTCCCTCTTCTGGAATGACACAGGCCCTGTCATGGCCTTGTCTGAGGGCTCCAGGCGGCTCGGCTCGGCTCAGCCCCAGGCTCAGTCTGGCCCCAACCTGGACCCTGAGGGCAGGCACTTGCAGCCCAGTCCTATAGGCTGCCCAGCTCCCTGTCAAGGCTACCAACCTCTCCCCTCACGGGTAGGAGCCTCAGCTGGACAGTGCACCCCGGGCCAGTCATGGCTGGTTCCCCCTGCAGTGCCCCTCCTGGGTCCCAGTCCTCCCCCCACCTGCCAGCCCTCGCCATTGAGGGAAGGAGTGGCCGCACCTTGGCCCACGACAGCTTGGCCCTCACGTGGTCATTGCAGGGCTCCACTTTCTGTGCAAACTCAAGGTTGGCCAGCGTGTGTTCGTGGCCACAGAACACCTTCTGGAGAAAGGAGGCACTCAGGGGGGTCACTCACTGGCTGGCCTGGCCCCTCCTGAGCACCCTCCCACACCATGTTGCAGGTCCAGAGCATGTGGGTTGTGTGGTGAGGTTGGATCCAGGGGAGGGGAAGGGACAGCCACTCACAGTCTCCGGGGGCAGGGTGCCCAGGGTCTCAGCCAGGCTCTGGTACATCTGCTGAGCTGTGCTCTCCAGGCGGGAGCCGCATCCCGCCACGGACAGGGCATCCCCTGAGGAGGAGGGTGGGTCAGAAAAGGTGGAGCCGCATCAGAGGGAGGCGGGGCGGGTGGGGGCAGCGCAGCTGGTACCCGAGAACACGGCGGGCGGGTCCAGACACTCATTTTCCCATAAGAAGTAGCTCATGTGGCCAGTGGTGTGGCCGGGCGTCAGGAGGCAGCGCACGTGGATGGCCCCAAACTGCGGCAGAGGGGCAAGCGGGCCGGTTAGGCGGCGGCAGGGGCGCCTTCCCCCACCTCCCGGGCGCGCGCTCACCCGCAGTTCCTCGCCGTGCGCCAGCCTGCGGGTCAGCGCGCAGATGCGCTCGTCCGCACCTAGCACGGCCAGGCCCGGCCGCAGCCGTGCCAGCTCCGCGTTGCCTCGAGAGTGGTCCCTGCAGACGGGGCGGGAGTAGGATCAGGCCAGGTCGGGGTGGGGATGGGCGACGCCCTGGAGCCTGGGCCCGCCCCGACCATGCTCACCAGTGGTGGTGGGTGGTCAGCACAGTGGTCAGTGATACCCCCTCCCGGCCCACGATCTCCAGCAGCTGAAAGCGACGGGAATTAGAGAGATGGGACGGTCCAGGTGGCCGCTCCCCCCATACTGGGGCGCCAGGCCGGTGAGCACAGCGCCCCAGGCAGGCCAGGACGGGGTGGGTGTGTCCAGCAGGCAATTACTGAGCGCCGCGTGTGTACGGAGCAGTTAGGGTGCAGAAGATGGGCAAAGAGGAGGCCAGAGGCAGTCCTATCCTCGGGAAGACCCAAATAATGAAGAAATCCTAAACGCCCAATAACCAGGAGCCGGAGAACAGGAAGAGTCTGCTCTCACCAGGGTGGTCCGGGAGCTGCTCCGAGGGGGCCTGGGCCCGCAGCGGCCTCCCCGCCGCCCACAGCCTGCCCTCACCCTCTTGGGCACGGCCACGTCCACAGCCACAGCCTCCCGCGTGTGCTCCTCGATGACCAGGTACATGTAGTTGTCCTCAAGCACAGGGATGACCTTGACCTTCATGGTCGCAGCGCTCAGCCACCCCGCGCCTCCTCCAAGAGGCCTCCAGCCTTGTGAGCCCCTGCCTCAGGGCGGGGGCTCCCCTCTCCACACCTAGGCAGGGCTGCGCGGGAGGGGTCAGCTCCACACACACTGGGGGCCAGAAGGCAGTCCCGCTCCCTGCTCTAGGGAATTCCCGGAGGACCCTACGCTCCAGGCTCAAGCTGCCCCGCGGCTGCGGACGCCGCCCCCGCCCGCCACGCCCCTCGACAGTTTTCCCCTCCTCCGGCTCCGCCCCCCAGTCGTGGCCCCGGTAATCCCCGCCTCCTTCCCCCAGACCCCGCCCCCAGGCCTCCTCCGGCCGCCGCGCGACCCTGGCCCGGGACAGCCCCTCCCCGGCCGCCCACTCACCCGTACGGACTGCGCCAGCCGGCTGCGCGGGCGGCCAGAAGGACGGCGGGACAGAGGCGGGCCTCGGGCGCCGGTCACGGGGACTGGACGGAGGGCGTAGCTCAGCTCCGCCGCCGCTAACGGCTCGCGCCCCGAACGCGCCGCCCCCCCCACCCCGGTCCCCCCCGCCCGGCTGCCCGGAACCTGCGCGCGGCGGGGACGCGAGCACGGTCAGGGAGCGAGCGTGCGCGGGAGGGAGCGCGTGCGTGCCGGTGGGGGCCGCGCGCACGTCCGGCCCCGCCGCGCCGGGCGCTATGGCGCCTCCTGCGCGAAGCCCTCCAGGCGCCCGGGCTGGTGCCAGTCCCTTGGCCCCTGACTGGGAAGTCTGCACCCCCTTCCTCCAGGCTGGGGGTGCGGAGATCTGTCCAGTTTGTTCGCCTGCCCGTCCTAGCACTGAGCCGAGAGGCACACAGAAGGGGTCTAATGAGTGTGCAAACCCACACGGTACGGCGGGGCACCCAACAGTAACAGCAGAGGCAGCTCCATTCCGGACGCTCGTTTCCCCTTCTCCTCAGGCTGGGCGCTTTCCTGCACCCCTGGTTCCATCTGCACCCCGAATAAATGCAGGGGTGCTGGTCTACATTTCCCAGATGAGGAAATGAAAGCCAGAAAAAATGGCCACCATATATGGAAAGAGCTGAGAGAATTCCCCCCACCTCCCTAACCACCGAACTGCCCTGCCTGCCCTCGTGGGTGGGGCCCCGGCAATCTCCGGGGACCAACAGGGGCCTTGGCAACGGAAGCCACCGTGTCGCAGCAACAGGCCACTAGGTGAGGCGGCACTGGGCTGGGGCAGGCCAAGAGTTCCTTTCCCCTATGGAGCGTGTGGCAGCCACAGGCCCCAGGCCAGGGGCCCCCCCTCGGGCCATTGAGAATGTGAGTCCTCCCAGGATGCTGCTGCTAGTGGGGCCGGGGGGTCCTCCCTATCCCCTCAGAGGCCAGGGGGGTGCAGGTACCCAAGTCCTGGGGCTGATCCTGGCCGTGGGAGGGGCTGCCCCAGCTCAGCCAGGCTCCTGGTGGGGTTGGATGGCGGGTGGCTCATAGGAGTGAAAGCCACAGCCCAGGCCTGAGACCCACCTGGGGGCTGGATGGTGGTGCCTCCCCAGGTTCTGCCACAGGCAGAGGACTGGCTGCCAGGAGTCCCAGGGGGTGCCCCAGCCTGGGCCACCAGCCTTGAAACAGAGCTTCCCTCAGATCTAGAGCTGAGTGAGGAGCAGCGGCTGCAGGTGGGTGTGGGGGCCCTGGAGTGCTGGCAGGAGGAGGGCACCTGCAGGGTCCCCCAGGGCCCACCTCTCACCTTGGCCACCCACAGATTTCTAAGGAGCTCGTCGACCTGCAGATCACAACCCACCGCCTGCGGGAGCAGCATGAGGCTGAAATCTTCGAGCTGAAGAGTGAGGTGGGCACTGATGTGTGCCCACGTGTGCCAGCCCGGGGGGGGGTGCATATCTAGGACCAGTGCTGTGAGGGGTCCAGGTGCGATTGTGCACACCCACACCGTGTCTGTGAGCCCCACCTGTCTCACATGTGCTGTGTGTCCCTGTGTGTGCCCAGACGGATGCTGACTTGCCAAGGGTGGCCTGGCCCGCAGGTGCACCTGCTCACCATGGTCACCCCGCAGGTCCTGCGGCTGGAGAGCCGGGTGCTAGAGCTGGAGCTGCACGGAGAGCATGCAGCCCTGCCAGAGGCTGACCCAGGGCACCGCCAGGCACTGGCACAGGAGCTCGGGCACAAGGCCCATGGGCAGGGACCCTCTGACCGCCGCAGACTTCAGGTCACAATGAGCGCGTGGATGGCCTGGCAGGGTGGGCTGGGTGGGAACTGAACAGGGGTTCAGTAGGGGAACAGCGAGGCTGGGACCAGCACTCCATTCTGTATAGGTGCAGCCCCAGGACTTCCTGACCCCTGGGAACGAGCAGCAGAAGCTGAGGAACAGCATGAGTGTGCAGCCACCTAGCCTGGGGGTCTGTCCAGGTTTCTCCGGGCCTGGGGTAGGGGTGTGGTAGTGCAGGGGATCCAGAGCTTTGGGTCTTATCCGGCCAGTCCTTGTGCACCCCACGGCTGCAGGGAGAAGTGAAGCAGGCACTGGAACAGCACAGAGCACGGGAGCAAGCACTGGAGACGCCAGTGTGAGTGGCTGCCTCACCTGGGACGGGGAGGGCCCAGCAGGGCAGTGTACGGAGCGGCTATTCCCAAGCGGCAGAGGGAGTCCCCCGCCCTGGGCCCAGCTGAGCCTCACACCCGTGTCCGCAGGGCAGCCCTGTGCCGGCAGCTGCAGGGAGCCCGAGAAGAGGCCAGGACAGCTAGGCAGCGCCTGGCTGCACAAGCTGTGGTGAGGCCCAGCACTACCCGCTTTGAGATCCGGTTGGGGGTGGTCCTACAAGCTTAGCAGAGGTCCACCTCTCGGGACATCGGTTCAGGGCCACCTCCACCCGCAGGTGTTGTCCGCCTGCCACGGCCAGCTCCGCCAGGCAGAGGCTGAGAACGCCCGGCTGCAGCTGCAGCTCAAGAAGCTAAACGAGGAGTACGCCATCCGGCTGCAGCGCTGCGCCCGCGCCGTGGCCGTGAGCACGGGCGGGGAGGCCCTGGGAGCCCACGCCTGGCCCGCGTGTGCTGGACCGCTGCAGGGAGACCCCGTGGGCCGGCCGCTGCCCTGCCCGACCTGATCCACGAGGGAATTGGGGGAGGGGTGTGGCCCACCCAAGCCCCGCCTGTCGCGGCTCTGGCCCCGCCTCCAGCCCCTCCCCATTTCCTCTAGGAGTATGCGCATGGTGCGGGTCAGGCGCCTACAGCCGCAGCCCTTCGAACATTCCTGGAGACCACCCTGGAGGACATCCGGGCAGCACACCACAGCCGTGAGCAACAGCTGGCCCGGGCTGCTCGCGCCTACCGCAAGCGCCTGGCAGATCTGAGCCGTAGGCATGAGGAGCTGCTGACCGCCCACAGGTGGGCCCCTCCCTGCATGGGCACCTGGGGTGGGGTGGCCCTATGTGACCCAGCATGTGGCTTAGTGTGCCGCAGGCGCTGGCAGACCCCCACGGGGTATCCAGGACCCCCAAGGCTACCTTTGATGCAGCCACCTCTGACCTGGAGCCACTGCCCCTGCACCTGGTCACCGAGCTCGACCACCTGTGGGAGGATCAGGCAAGGCTGGAGATGAAGCCCCACAAGCTCCAGACCCAGGTGACCCCTCCCTGCTGCCCCCCACTGGCCTTGGGGCACAGGCCCCCAGAACTCACCCCAGGGCCGTACCAGACTCAGCAAAGCCCCAACCCAGGGTCTCTGAGCAGCCTGCTGTGTTCTGCTGACTGAATCTCTGTGTGCTGCCTTTACAGCCCAGCGGGCTTACAATGCTGCTCTTGTTCCCACAGAAGGGACCCGGTGAAGCCTCCCAGGGGGGCACATCAGAGCCACAGTGAGTGCCCTGGTGTGGGTGTTGGGTGCCCGCAGGGCTGGTCATTCATTTATCATGCCAACCCTAACTGCTGGACCGGGTGCGGCTGCAGCAGTGAATGAGGTGGCCTGTCTGTCCTCGGGTCTCGGTCTGTATGGGAGACACTAGTTAGTCGTAGAAAAGCCAGGTGCCTGGGGTGAAGAGACATCCTGAAGGGAGAGGGGCTGACTTTGAATGAGAGGCTTGGGGACAGCCCTGAGGAAGGGACATTTTAGCTGAGATGTGGAGGTCCCAAGGATGAAGACACGTGGTGGGATTGCCAGCAGAGGTCCCGGCCCCAGCCCCAGGACAGGGCTGGAGCAGTCTACCCGGTGACCTTTACAGCCGCTGCCTCTGAGCCTTCACGTTTCCAACCGTGCGATGGACAGGGGCTCATACAGGTCCACCTCCCAGGGTTTTGGGAAACAAGTCCCCAGCATGGGGAGAGACCCTCCCCCATCAGCATCCCTACAAACACTGGGGCCACTGTGCAAGCTGGCCTTGTGGCCTAGCCCTCCCTGAGCAACGAGTGGGCCCTCTGGGCCTGGGCTGCCCTGCCCCCAACACATAGACGGCTCCAAAGTCTAGGCAGGGCCCATAGTGGCTGGCGGGCCCATGCTGGCCTGAACTCGCTCCCAGCAGGCACCACAACAATCTATGTGCCCCAACTTGAGTAGGGTCACCGGTCAGCACCTGGGTTGATGCTGGCCCTCACACGCACCCATTCCTCTCCCCTCACAGGGGCCTGGAAGCTGCATCCTGGGCCCAGATCCGCCAGGAGCTCCAGGAGTTCTCTCGTGGCACCCAGGTAGTGGGCAAGGCTTGGTTGGGACCCCTCCTCACACTGTGCCCTGACTCATGGCTTATGCTCCCCTCATGCCAGGCAGAGCTGGAACAGGAGCGGGCACAGCTGCTAGTCCGGGCTACGATGGCTGAGGAGCAACTTTCCGAGCTACAGGAGTACGTGGACCAGCACCTGGGCAGGTGGGTTCTTGGGCAAGTGGGTTCTTGGGCAAGTGGGCTGGGTGTGACCCGAGGGCCTTGGTCCAGACATTATGCTTGTCCAGGGCCATGCAGGTGACTAAGCCTGGCCTCTCCAAGCAGGTACAAGCAAGAGATCCTGAGGCTGAGGAAGCTGGTGGGTACAGAGGACCCCTGGAAAATTGGGGGCACACCTCCAGCCAAGCCCCAGCGCCCAAGGACCCGGAGCCACTAGCTGGTCATTGGATAAACTCAGAGCAAAACTCTTCCCAGGCAGCATGGAGTCCTCCCCACTGTCCCCGCTTGAGGGGTCATTCCACCCAGCTCTCCACCCAACAAGAGTCAGGAAGCAGCCCACTGAGTCTTTATTGTGTCCAAACAGTCAGCCACCCTGAGAATCAGGGGCCCCGGGGACTGAGGCAGAACTAGGTCCTGGGGCAGCCTGCCCAGCTGGCCCATCACGATGGACATCATAGGCCCAGACACGGTCCAGGCCCTCACCCACCACAGCCACAGGCTGCCAGGTGGGGAGGGGGAAGCGCCCTGACACCACACGGGCCCCTGCGGGCAGCTCGGCCAGCAGCTTGTTCTCCAGCAATGAGAGCTGCGAGAAAGAGAGCAGGAAGGCAGGTGGGCTGAGCAGAACACGGCTGCCCCCGCCCCCAGCTCCTCCCCTGGGCTAGCACACCCCAGACCTACCACGCTGGGGGCCAGGAACACAGACACATTGTGGCAGTCCCTCAGGCTCACCTGCAAGAAGAGATCACCCCAGCAGAGAACGGGGCCCCAGCCAGGGAAGAGGTCTGGTGGGCATGGGGTCCCTGTGGCTGTCAGCAGGGTGGTCAAGCCCAAAGAGGAAGCGTGGAGATCAGGTGCAGGGCCTGAAGGGGTCCAGGACTCCCCGGGTTACCTTCCAGAGGTCCTCTCGGCGGTAGCAGACACTGCGGGCACAGCCGGCCCTCCAGGCGTGCAGCCGCGCCAGCCCCACCAGCCACGGGTTCAGCTCGTAGCCCACAGCCGGGCAGAGACCGCACCTGTGGGCCGCTAGCACCTGTGGGCACGGAGAGCGTTGGGAGCGGGAAGCGGGGAGGTGCGATGGCGGGAGGGGCAGCGGGGACGCAGCCCCACACAAGCCTTACGATCCTGCCGTCGCCAGAGCCCAGGTCCACCATCTTTCCAGGACGGCCTCGTAGCAGCGACAACACATGCTCCACCTGCCGCGCACTCGCGCCGACGTACGGCACCTGCGCAGGGAGGCAGGCGCAGCTGGGACGGCAGCAGTCCATTAGCAGCTCCTGTACTCACCGGTCGGGTCCCCAAACCGCAATCAACGGGGCGGGGGGGGTGGGGGTGGGGGCCTGTCTCCTGGGCTGCCTTTCTTAGCGTGGGGCTGTCCTGCCGCCCCTGAAGCAAGTCCAACCCACAGCCCGGCCGGTTCTCAGCTGCAGCCCCTCCCCTCACACCTGGGCTCAGCGCCTCCACCCAGGGCAGCCCTGGCCGGGACCCCGCAGCCGCTCGAGGTCCCGCCCTGGCAGCTCCGCCCACCGCCCCTGGCCCCACCCCGCAGGAGCCATGCGGGTTCCGCCCCCGCTTGTGGCCCCGCCCACCGCCCCTGGCCCCGTCCGGCACCTGCAGCCGCAGCGGTACGCCGCGGAAGCCGGGCTGCAGTAGCAGCGCCCACACGGCGTAGACGGCCAGGCCTGAGCCCGCCGCCACCTGCAGCAGCTCCCACGCGCCCGGCCGCCGCTCGCGCAGCTCGGTCAGCGCCTCGGCCGGGTCATCCTCCATGGCTGCAGGACACGCGGCCCAGGGTCGTCCCTTCCCGGCTCGGGTCCAAGACCCTCACGCCCGGGCGCGGAGCTGATGGGGCCGCCCTCCCCACCACCCCCGGCCTGCACCGTGCCCCTCGGTCCCGCTCCGCGCCTACCCGGCCCGCGGCGGCGACGCCGGAAGTGGCGGGCGGAGCGGGGCGAGACGCCGGAAGCGGCCGGCAGAGCGAGCGCGGCCGGTCCGTCTGCTTTCCGCTCCGCCGGGGCCCAGGGCCCCTCCCGCGGGTTCCGGCCCCACCGTATCTGCTCGCGGCCTGCGGCCGTCGGCCCCGGTGGCCACTCCGCGGACGGTGGCTTTGGGCCTGTCCCGGCGCTGGGGACCTGGGAGGGCGCCTGGCAGGCCTTGCCCTCCCGGACTGCGCATCCAGCGCGGGGACGGCCTCAGAGGGCCGGGCGCCCGGGGAAGCGGGGTCCCGCGGACGCGCGGGCTGAGGAGGGCAGCGGCGCGGCGCCGCCGATCGGGGCACCCGAAAGCCAGCCGAGCCCCGGGAGGCGCGGGAGGACGCCGGCTCCGTCCGCGGGCGGGAGGGCTGGTGGGAGACGCGGGCGCCCTGAGTGCGTGCGAGGGGAGCCGGGCGCAGGAGCTGGCCCGGCCGCGGGGTGGGAGGAAGATCCCGCCCTCCTCCAGAAAACGTCGACAGTCAAGATGGAGCAGTTCCTGGAAGTGGCCTGGCAAAGCCTGGGGTGGGAGGGCAAGCGAGCGACGGAGCCCGGGTCAGGCGGCGGAGCTGAGGCCGCCTCCTCCCTGAGGCCACACGTCCGAGCATGTGGGGCCCGTCTGCACACAGACTTCTGGTTCCGCCATCCACGGCCCCGGTCAGGAGCCCCAGCAGGACGACGCAGGCACGCCCGAAACCAGTGGCCTCACCCCAAGAGCAGATGCCTCGCGCGCCTGCCCGCGCTTGGCCCCAGCTGCCACCAGTCCTGAAAGACAAGTGTCCCTGGTGGCAGGCAGCCCCAACGCGCTGCTCCCAAGACCTGAGCCCTGGGGAGCAGGA